GAGTAGTGCATTATGTGCCCACAGCCAGTAGTCACGGGCCCACGAAGAGTACTCTTTGCGTTGAATCCTTTACTCAGTCCAATCTTTTCACTGACGACTTCACCACCAGAAGAGTCAAGACGCTTGATGGTAGTATGGTTCTCCCCGGATACACCAAATGGTCGCAATTCTTCGGCGGACCTGTCCAGACTTGTAGGTGTTCTGAGCACCTCACGAATTCTATCGGAGTCCCTGATATCGGTCTGTCGCAGGATCGTACTATCTTGAACCAACGCAAATGTACCGTAGAGTCTCGAATCGTTGGTTTCTTCCTGGCACAAAATACATGTTCCGCTAGGGTACTTCCATAGCTTCTTTTCTGGTGTAGCGCCTGTGTCGGACTCGAGGTCGCTGAAATCTTCTTCGCCCCAATCGATGTTACCCTGGCTGTTCAAGAATTGTTGTTGCTGCTGCTGGAACTGCGCCATCACCTTGGCTTGCCTCTCCAGTGCTTGCTTCTTCTTGACCTCTTTGTCGTTGTCTGCATCAATTGCAGGAGAGTTGGTGTCAATTCGGTCGAAGGGGAATTTGAGAGACGCAGTTGCCGATGAATATGTGCGAGGGCGCTTTTGCCACAGACGTTTGAGTATGTGTCTAATTTTAGGGCCAGATGCGGTGAATTCAGTCGTGACTGAAATTCTCTCCAATAAACCGACGATGGTCAAATGGCCAGCCTTGATCTCTCGGGCCTTTGACAAAGCATTCCAGTTGAATGAATTAGAGTGCTCTTCTACCATATCAGTTTCCTCGGAATCATCCTCTAACACTGCTGCAAGGATAAGATGCAGAATCACTTGAAGGAAAGTCTCAACACGTGTCGGTGGGATGCTTGGTGTACACTCTTTCGATGAGATAACATATTCCAAGCATTGGTGAACAATTTGTGCAAACAGCATTGTTCCGGCGAATCGGGGGAGATCTGAGAACACGCCAAAGCTGATGGGTCGAAGTTTCGGCTCAAAAACAATGTCAGAGGCATTCTTGCCTGTCTTTTTCGCCATCCATTCCTTATAGATATTCTCTGCTTCGTCTCTTTGGTTCTTTGTGTAGTGTGCACTGTACGGATCAATAAGATCAAGATATTCGGGCTTCAATTCGAAAGTACCAGTGTCACTCAAACCCTCGGGCGGGCGGAAATTAGCGACTTCTTCCAACACATCTTGGAACATGTCCGAGTCTAGAAGCTTGTCGCTAAGGCGAGTCGAGAGGTCGGAGAAAGACAGCGGCTTGAAGCACAAGACATGAGCGATGTCACGTTGGATGTTTTCGTGAGTGAGATGAGTGCTGTCATCGATGGCAGTCAAAGATGTTCGGTCCGTCAGGAGGATCACCAGTAGATGAACGAATTCCTCTGCCACATCCACAATCTGGGTATCTTCGTATCCAGGACGGGGCATGTAGTTGCGGGCCATCCACTCAACCATACCAAAGCGGTGTGCAATGGAAGCAAGAACTCTGCTAGGATCACAGGTAACTAGAGCAGTCTGGAGAAGGAAGATATCTCTATAGTACGCAAAGTCACGGGAAGAGACTCCACGGTACTGCGACATTTGATGCCGAAGACTAAGACCATTGCGAACCCACATGCCAGCCTTCATTTGGGCTAGCCAAGCGCATACTCGAAGTGGATAGTCAAACATGGTCAGAAGCAAGTCCTCCGGTCCAAGGGTAAGCAAAACATCATCAACTTTACTAGGGTTGGCAGTCTTGGCAGCATGGATCTCACTCCTCGCCGCATTGGCAGCGTCAAAGAGAGCATCGCGCATAGTCTCGCTGCTAATGTTTCGACCGCATTCAATGAGCCACGACAATGTGTAGTGAAGGGCGTGGTGGAAACTGATAGATCCACGTTCCACCACGAATTCAACGACCCGATGGCAGGGCACTTGGCCAGAGGCGCCGACCTCGAAATCGAAAGGTGGCAGCAGCTTGAATCTTACTTCATCCTTGATTTCGGCCTGGTCGAATCGCATGCGTTCTAGGCCGGCTGAATGGAGAATCGCAGTAGTGGTGGTGGTCTCGATTGCCCTCAGAAGGTAGTCACCATTGTCAATTTCAGGGTCGCGGAAAGACTCGCAGAATTGGCGGCAAAGTCGGTTGATCTCTCGCATGAGAATTGACGCACTGATCCAGGCGTCTGTTTCGTATTCAACGTGTTCACCAACAGCCCGGACATTAGGGCAGATACCCTGCGACAGCTTGACGAGGTCAAGGAATTGAGGAAGATATTGTTCCTCAGTCCGCACACGGTGCTGGACATATTCAGATTGAAGAAGGTATCGGAGATCAAGGAAGAAGTGGTAGAGACGCCTGTTTGTAACTGAGCCAGCATCAAATGCCAGTGTGGCGTTGGGGTTGACGGATTGTGGTTCACCTACTTGTCGCGTGGTCAAGAAGGTATAGAGAATAGCCATCACCTTCGTGAGGAAGTTGCCTCGCACGACAATCTCTTCAGTGATGGAGGGGGTCGTGAGAAGCTGCAATGAAAGATTGACAATCGAGTGATCCGGTTCTCGGTCCGCGATAAGGTACAGTTGAGCCAGAGCTGTGTACAACGCAGACAAACGAAGACCCATGATGCGCTTGAACTGAGGAACATTGACGACAGTGCTGATGTAGAGATCACGCAAGTCGGTTCGTGTCTTCTTCCACAACCTCAAGTCATATAGCACAAGCCAGTCTAGGCGAGTACGGTGCCACAGGTCTTCATACGGAGGTACTTTTTCACCTGGAGCGGGAAGGGACGGTTGGACTTGCCAGTGACTGTCTGTGTTCAAAGGCCTGTGCCGACTCAAACCAGGGGTCTTGGGAATGGGGATATAGCCAGTAGGGGTAGATTCAGGGCCAGGACTTTGAGATTCAGACGGGCCTCGTTCGGCAGAGGACCGATCTGCGGTTTGAGCTGGTGCCGGTCGAGGAGGTGGCGGTTGGGTACCTGTAAGATTGGCGAGAATGCGCTCTGCTAGAGCAAGTTCCTCATCGGCACCTGCCAAGATCATATCTTGATCTTCCTCCTGATCACGAGTGAGTTCGATGTCCATTTCATCGTCATCTTCATCATCGGCGTCGTGGGCCTCAACATAATCTTCGTCCTCATCTTCGTCTATAACGTCGTCGTCAAGAATATCGTCATCGTCATCGTCATCGTCAGCGGTCAAGAGGACCTGACCATGGTTAGGCAAATTAATCATGAGCGTGCGACCTGGAAGGTTCTCAGTCCGTTGATGATCGTCAATGCCCTTCATGCCGATATCTTCGTTATATCCACCACTGCCCTTTTTCCAGGGCGAAAGCATTTCCTCACAGATGATTTGTCTGAAAATCTCATTGTCCTCGAGGATTTCACAGCCAGCAATATCGGCCAACCACTCCACTATCGTTGCGCACATTTGCTCGCGGAAAGTATCGCGTGCAGAGCGCACCGTGACGGTGACCTTAATTTCCTCAATTATCTTAGAAACACCCAAGAGTCTGTTCAGATCCTTCGAATACTTTATCACACTGCGGCCCATATCGTTTGTTTCATGAGCCCGCGCAAGGCCAAAGCTATCTCGTTCACGACAAGCACGTGTGACCTGATGAGAGACATCGCGAATTGTATGCTTCTCATCATTCCACAGCAGGACCGCAAATTCGGGTTCTTCCTCCTCCTCATCGCCAGCGCCATACCAGTCCGGACGCAACCGAGATGCCTCCTCATCTTGCCTAATGCCCTCTATGGTCTTTGGCAGCCGCAATTGCTCCGGGGAACATGAGATGACATCACAGAAATAGTCAAGGACACGGGATATAGTCAAGCGGATGGAGGCCACAAGCTCAGAAGGCAGTACCCGATGCGCCCGTTCTTTGCCCTTCGCATTACCACTATCGGTATGAATTGCACAGAACAGCGGAAGGCGCCATGCTTCGTCATCACCGCAGTCGCAGCAACCACAGTTTCCCGAGGAAAGCGAAATCTGATATTGATGTCCGGTATGATCTGAGGAATCGAAGCATCGACTGCACAGCACACATGTATCATCCGCGGCACATGTCACGCATCGGTATGTAGCTTCCCCAGCACGAAAGATATGACCACAGCGCTTGCCCCGCGCTGCCTCACTGTATTCGGCTCCTTCCCGGGCACCTTGAGCCTCTGCCAGTTTCCATGGTCCGGCCGGGGTTCCTTCTGGGAACAGCTGTTGTAATAAATCATTGTCGTGCCCGACGAGCGATCGGAAGAGAAGCTCTAGCAGGTCCTTCTCGGCAGCGGGCCCATAGCGGAAGTTGTGTCTCTTGGGTAAACGGAGAAGACCATCACCGAGTAGCTTCTCACACTCCCCGAGCATGAGCATGATTTGTTTGTGGCCGGGTTATCGTAGTGGCTACTCGGACTATCACAAGTGAGTGATGGAACGGAACGCCGTTGTCGCGACAATGCGCTCAAGGTAGTAATGGTCCGACACAAGTGGTTTCTTCACGGGTATGCAGGCGGAAAATAAATTTTCAAGTGAAGATTCAAGAGGTCGGCCGGATCGAGTAGGGTTCTCAGATGGAGTTCACGTTGCTCACACACTGATACTTTGGTGGGGGGAAGAAGAGCAACGGGTGAAGGTGGACCAATACAGGCGAGCAGATCAGCACAGATACGGTGAAGTCATACGCGATTCAAACTTGAATGTGGAGTTCTAGCGATCCTGAAGGTCAAAAAAAAAATACAAGAAGAAATCAAATTAGGAGTGTTTGTTGAGACCGGAAGGGAACATTTTTCGTTATGACATCGATGGAACCGGCCTGTCTCAGTAAACGCCACATCCACGCTACGTGCCTAACCACCTACAACACACCACTGAACACTTTGAAGTTTTAAAAAGAGATTGAAAGTCAAAATACAGATTTCCATCTATCGCGTACAAGCCCATATATGGGATGAGAAATAACAGGCACTAGCTTCGGTTGGTTTTTCCGTGCCCCTTTACCCGCGGCGGTAAAATATACCAAACATCACTTTCGGCAAGTCCGTTTACTCGTCATCCTCCTCCTTAACCATATAACGGTGCTTGATGTCCTTCCATTGGCGCTGTAAGGTCAGAGAAATAGTCAGCGTGGGTCCTAGCCTCGGGTATTGTAGTCCATCGGGAAAGAGGTTCACATACGCCCTGGTTCCAGCTGTCCCAGACCTTGTTGGAGGTAATATCGAAGGCACTGTTTTTGAAATTGCGTGGTCAGTATTCTGTATAAGGTGTAGAGCATGTCTTGACATGCTCGGAGACCGGATGTAACCCACAGCTCAAAAGCGAAGGCGCCGGCAAAAGCAGTGGTCAGGAGAACAGTGTTCTTGCGCATGAAGGTCCTATACACAGCGAAGAGTGCCTCGGTTAGATTTCAATTGGACAATTTCGATCGCGATCGTAGGACCTAGGAAGGGGAGACATGCGAGTAGATAACGTTTGCGAGCTGTCATGCGAGAGGTCAGTCAGTATTGGACATAGCAGTGCTAATAGGAGAACTGGAAGGAGGGAATATAGACATACGCCGGCCATTGTGAGAGATTGGGGTGTTTGCACACGACCTAAATTAAAGGATTGGACAAGAGGATGGGGCAACGAGAGTTGAAGTTGTGAGGTTGAAGTTGCGAAGGCTGAATCTGCGGGAATTGCCGGTCCGCTGATTGGCCGAGCCTCCGGCCTTCCGCACTCAACTTTCAAGGTCCGCGTCGTTTTTCTCCTTTGATCTTTAAAGATATTGATCTTTGCCTTGGAGCTTGACTCTGTCAAGTTGCTATCACATATTACTGTATTTTATCAGATTCATTACACAACTTGGACCTTGCACACCACCCACCATGGCCTCCAACGTCGCTAGGTCCGGCATCACCACCGATGCCCAAACCGGCGAACGATACATCCCCTCCTCAGTCCGTGCCGACGGTTCTAAACGCAAGGAAATTCGCGTGCGCCCCGGCTACAAGCCCCCCGAGGATGTTGAACTTTACAGGAACCGAGCAGCGGCAGCGTGGAAGACCCGCGCAAAAGGCGGGGTGCCGGGTGCGGAAATATTGAGCAGCGAAGACAACAAAGCTAAGACCGCAGCGATCCCCACACCCACTGCCGCTACTGCCGCCAGCAACAAGAACGCTAAACGCCGCGAGGCCAAGCGGAATGCGAAGGAAACCGACGAAGCCGGTCCCACTACTGAGGGCAAAGGCGCAGAGTCAAACAACTGGCGTGTCTCCGCACCCGCACCTAAGAAACAAGAAAAGCCTACCGAAGAACTTGTCGATCCTGAAGCTGAGAAGGAGAAGAAAGCCCGCAATCTGAAAAAGAAGCTCCGCCAGGCGCGGGATCTTCGCGATAAGAAGCAGCAGGGAGAGGCGCTGTTACCCGAGCAGTTGGAGAAGGTCATCAAAATTCAGGAGCTTGTTCGGCAGCTGGATGTGTTGGGCTTTGATTCCAATGGCGACAAGAAGAATGGTGACAGCAATGAGGATGCTTGAATGCCTTTTTGAACCTTCACACGCGGAGTCAGATGAAAGTCTAAATCCCATATCCATGTGTCGAGCATATGCCAATATGCATAGCGTTGTCATTAGGACTTCCTGCAAACACCCCGCGACATCTGCTGGGAGCCATCAAAGTATCCTACATCGTCGTGGCAAGTGATTGGAAGTGGGGCGTGAAAAACATTACCTATATGGCAGGGCACATTGCAACCAATCGGTTCCAGCCTTCCAATCGCCCATCGCTTCGCCTGCGAGGAACTCCGGATTCTGTCACATCTTCCCGTCATTTCCTCAATCGGGGGACTGGGTGCTCTTGCCCTTGATCCTGATGAGATCAAAACTGAATATGGCAGCCGACTGTACAAATGGTCAACATTTTGTGGGCCGACCATGGGCTGGCTGGCAGTTGAGTTAAAATTAGAAATTGAACATCTGATATCCGGCCAATGCCGTCGATTTCCAACTTTGAACAAGAAAAAAGACTATCATTACAAAGATACATTTATTATACATAGCTTGGACCTTCTCTCGTGTACATTCCCAAGTACAAGTAAGCAAACCCCACGAATCAGTCATACAGCATCAGATTTTAGAGTCAACCAGACGAACAGGAGGCATCACAATGCCACCCTGTAGTCTCCAGCGTTCATAATCAAAGGAAGTCCACGGGCGCCACGGACTGGGCTCACCATTGAGCCGATTTCTTCCAATGCCGTAGGTGGCAGATAGGATACCCTGCTTGACACAGTCGCCCACACCTACGCCATTATACCAGTTTCCTGCGAGAATAAGCCGGTTCTTGTACTCATTGCGAACTGTGTTCGAGAGCTTATACATGCGGTCCAGATGGCCGACTGTGTACTGGGGAATGGCATCCTTCTGGAGACGACTCCGTGCGACAGTTGGGGTATCAGTGATGTTCATGTGTCTCTTGAGCATGTCGCGGGCCATTTTCACTGCGGTGTCGTGGTCTGGATACTCTTCGAAACCATCCCAGTAATGTCCACCTAGCATAACGGTGAGTTTTGTTCCAGGTGCGGAATCTTGTTTGACTTCAGATGAATCAGGATCCGTTCCGTTCCCTACACTAGAGGACGAGGCGAAAATGACGCCAAGTCCACATTCTGGGTTCTGCTCGTAGGGTATGGAGCGCGGTATAAGGTATCCAAAGCCATCCTCCACAGGCAGAAGGTTGGGGTCTGAGTAATAGAGATTGACGACCATTGCCGTCACAGCGTAGTTCTGTTTGCGTAGTAGAGTTGGGGTCAGCCCTACAGGCCTGGCCTTTCCATCACTGGTTTCGCGCAGGACGTTTGCAAGTGAAACTGGAGGGATAGTGGAAATGACATATTTATAATCAAACGTCTTGGTTTCACCGTGCCCTGGTGACCGATGATCCATCTATTAACAGTCAGCATCACTCCTGGGGTCCAGGGCTCAGGGATATAGCATGACAGTGCAGAGGAATTCACATACCGCAACCCAATTATCATCAGTTAGACTCAAAGCTTTGATCTCCGTGTTCATTCGGAAGCTGATTTTTCCGGATGCTTCCAATGAAGCGATCAATGCTGCAATAAGCTGACCAACTCCCCTCTTAAAGGTGAAAGTACTAGCTCCACCTGCAAGGACTTCTAAATCGTGTTGACGGTGCACTAATTCAGGGCCTGCGGGTATGGCATCTATGGCCATAAAATCATCCATGTTCCGAGTTTTTGTTTTGGATATCGACCTGGAGATAAGAGACGCCGTAACTCCGCCAGAAACAAACCCACCGATGCCCCCAATGCCTCCCTCAAGGTTGCGGATGCTACCCAACAGCGTCTGGGCACTCAACTGATCGATATCACCAGCGTAGACTCCATGGTACACAGCGGAGACTAGGTTATCTGCAACATTGGGGCCAAAACGACGTCCGATGAAGTCCGCGACAGACTCATCCTGCGCCCATTCAGTTGGGTGTCGGGATGGAGCGAAGATATCCTTTACTATGCCCGAAGGGAATTTGTTAAATAGCGGCTCCTTCATAGTATTCACGAATCTGTCAAAGTTCTCCCCAAAAGAAAGTTCAGGCTTCGGCGCCGGCAAGCGAACGAGACGATCCGGGTAGTAGATGTAGCGATTCTGGGCCGCGGGGCTCGTCTTCGGGGTAACAATAAGGTCTTTGTACAAGCCTAGATTTGTAGCCTTTCACAGAAGTCAGCATATCAAGTCACCTAAATTCCGGGTATGTACACGAGAGCAATACTCACCAGGTAAAGCAGAGGGAGTGACCCTGGCAGCGAGCTCCTTAACGTCCGCGGCCCATACTCGAACACGATATTGCCACCATCGACAGGAATTGTTTCAGAGTCTATCCAGCCACCGAGCCGGTCCGTTTTCTCGAACAGGACAATTCTTTTGCATGTTGGGTCTTGCGCGAGTTGCCAGGCGGCTGTGAGGCCGGTGATGCCACCGCCAAGCACGGCGGCTGTGTATGTGCGTTTTTGACCATTGAGGAGAATATTCAATTGCCTTTGTCTTGGTCGTAGTGCTCGAGAGACATATGGTACCCGCATCTCTACCGATTAAAGCAAGGTTTGATTCGACGTTGGTTGGAGAATTAAAGCTAAATGTGAAGGTTCTCGGAAGCTTCCGTTCTTACTTAAGCTACGCGGGGGGGCAGGTGGAGCACTGGAGCTCAGGTCCCCCTACTCCATACAATTCCTAGTTTGCACAATGGTTCATGAGACATTCGCGAATTTGTCTTCGCGTTCGTATTATTCTTGTGTGAAGATCAACGGGGGAATCTATGAACAGGACAGATAATAGTATCTGAAACAAAAGCAAATGCATAAAGAGTATCAACGCCCTTCCCTCCAGCCATTCCTCGTTCATTGATCAAGATCGGATTGTACATATGGTATTCTTCGCTTCGAAAACAGACTGTTGTGGGATATTTGTTTTTCTGGGTTTTTGGATTTGAACAGTGGTTTTTCTTCATTTGGTCATGTCAGGCGGAGTCACGCGGTCACCTCATGGCTCTGAGTATTTTCCTCGGTATCCGGCTTGATTAACTCCTGGGGTCCATCCACATCCGTCACAAACTTGCGCTCGCTAACATGGTCTCCAGAGCGTGGGGTCCACACCTTGTCAGTGTAAGCACCACGTTGACCCTCGGCGTGCTTGTAGGTGCACTTGGGGTTCAGGCAGGGATTGAACTTGCAAGCAGTTTCGACATGTGTAAACTTGCATCCTTCGGTCTTGCAGTCGGCTCCATTGCGGCAGACTGGCATACTTGGGTGCTTGAAGTGACAGGTGGGATTGGTGCAGTGAGGGAAGAACCGACACATGGCCTCTGCTTGGTGGGCGGATCGCACTGCGGGTGAAGGGTGGCGTCCAGTGCATTTCTTGTTCTTGCAGGCTGCACCGAATGAGCAAGTATCAGAAGGATCGATTGAGGTGCCTTCGGGGGCGGCAGGTGATTGATGGGCGAACGGGCAATCCTGGCGCGAGCATCGTTGGTTGAAGCGACAAACACTGTCGGGGTTGCTTTCATCCTGTTCACCACCAGCTATGCCGTCCATATCCACATCTGCTCCTTCTGCGACTCTAGGTTTGTTGTAACCGCCGCCGCCGCGCTTTCCTCCACGGCCACCTCGCTCGACGCGATTGAAGAGCGAACGACCCTGAGGGCCATTCTGGGAACCAGCTTGGAAAGCGGGGTTAACAGCAGGTGGCATGAAGCCAGGCATGAATTGAGACATCATCCGGGCCTGTTCTTCCAACATCGACATAAGCTGCATCTGGTTCTCGGGGGTCATTTGCATCATGGGGCTCCCTGGCATTCCCATGGCACGGCCACCACGACCATTTTGCTGTCCGATGCCTCTCATTTGGCCCCGGCCATTGTGACCGATGCGCCCATTTCCTTGTCCGCGCACACGGTGCAGAGCTGCATCCGAACCACGATCCAGGTTTCGATTGATTTGGTTCAACATTCTTCCCTTGCCGCCTCTGCCATTACGCATCGCTTTCGGTCCAGTGGGGCTATCGAGGGGTAACGTCAGCATGTTGTAGACATTAGTAGAAAGGCATGGTAAAAAAAACCTACATTGACTCGTTTCCTGCCTCGCCCATCTCGGCATCCTGACCGTTAGCCTCTCCGAATGGCTGGGTCATCGCTTTAGAATTGTCGAATTCCATTGCTGAAGGGTTCAGCTGCCCCATAGTAGCATCGGTCGGGGCTGCAGCAACCCCATTGATTTGTTGATTGAGCATCTCGACTTGGGCGAAAAGCCATTGTGAAAACTCGAGGGCCGCAGTATCACCTTCCTGGAGACCGAGGAAATCGTTTGAGAGCTCGGTGGCGATTTGCTCTTCGGTCTTGCCGTTGACCAGCATGAGAACAATGTATTCGATCAGTGGTGACTCAAGGCTATCACTCCAACCCATCTCCACCAATTTTGGCTGGATGACAGTTGCGACTGCTTGCGCAAGAGGCGTTCCCAAAGTGATTTGAGGAAGCATGGCGAAGGCGATTGTGAAGTCAGGAAAAAGTGACGGGTTGGTGAGAAATTCACAAAGAGAGCAGTGCTGATAAAAGAACTTGCGCCACCCGATAAAGGCGTTTCGGATCTTATCGGCGCAACTGTCAATGAAGATGCGATGAAAACGGTATGTAGGAGGAGTTGGGGTTAGAAGTGAGTTTGATAGACCAGTAACAGGTTCTGGTAGAGAAAGCAAGACTTTTAGCAAGCAGATTGAAGTGAGCTAATGACCCGATGACCAAAACGAACGTTTGATCACGTGGTTGTGCTGTTCGGCGGTGAGGTGGGGCAGTACATACAGTGCAAACAACCACACGTGCTGTCGAGGTTGTTTCTGGTAATATCAATCAAGAAGAGCCTTTGCTTCTACGAAATTATTTCTTGATGATCAGATGGAAGGGGTAGAAAGGATGAGCTGTTGGGAATAAAGAGTGGAATTTGCGACTGCTAAAGTTCAGGTATATTCACAATGGCTATTGTTCCGCTACGAATCTATTGAGCTATGTTTTTATGAATGGGCTGAATGAGGCTTCTATATACAAATAGAAGTATCCAGACAAAGAACTCATTGGTCAAGTGACGTTCGAGAGGGAGTAATTGTCTCAAGGCTTCCAGGTATAGTTGCCTGAGGCATATATTAGGCCTGAAATATCGGGCTCTCAAGAACACAAGCATGTGCACAATAATATGCAGGGCAGATACATTTATGTGGCTGCAGGCCGTTCATAATTGTTTCCCCTCTCGAAATCATATGCCATCCGCCACTGTCAGCTCCGTACCGAGGCGCCTTTGCCATGCATCCCCAGATCGTCGGGTATCCCCACAAATATATATACTTTGTACAGCGTGAAGAATCACAATTGGACCTAGGGATCTATGCCTAGCCCGGCTCTAGACACATCTCAACGCAATACGATGGATAAGCGAGCCATGAAGTCACATAATGCGGGGTTCGCAAGCACCGCTCCTTTAGGTCTCCTATCCGTCCAGCTGTTTGGGATAATAGGGAACACACGTCATTGGATATCATCTGGGGTGCTTGTGGCGACGGATTAATGCACGCTATGACTACTAGGATGGCCCGCATTGTTTGACAGGTTCGTCTTCATAAGCTAGTCTTCCCTGCCATATATCAAAACATATCACTTTTTTTTCTCATCTGAACGTGCCCCCTCGAAGCCGAAGGACAGACTAAACCCAATTTGGTCCAGTCTAAGGGCACCATGATTGAAGATCTTTTTGTAGGGACGACACTCAGTCGGGTCTCGGTGTGGATTCTAGGACTATTCGTTGCATTCTGCGTCTTCCGCAAGTTCCAAGCTTCAGCACAAATCGCCCGGCTCGGCGTTAGAGCTCCCAAAATCAAATTCTGTCTGCCATACGCTCTCGATTTCATATTCCAAAGCTACAAAGCCAATCGAGTGAACCGCGACTTAGAATTCTGGGATACACAAATCGGGCAAGCAGGCGGCCTAACAAATTTGAAAACGGCCGAACTCGATGCTGGCATTTCCACCCGCATGGTCCTCACCAAGGACCCAGAGAATATCAAGGCGCTCCTCACCGGCCAGTTCGCTGACTACGGAAAGGGTGAATCCTTCCACCAGGAGTGGAAGGAATTCCTAGGCGACAGCATCTTTGCCACGGACGGAGAACTATGGACTCGTTCCCGCCAGCTCATCCGTCCCATGTTCGTGCGTGACCGCATCGTCGACACAGAAATATTTGAGAAGCATGTTCAGAAACTCATCCCGCTTCTTGGCGGCAGCGATTCACCCAGCAGCAGCAAAGTAGTGGACATTGGGTCACTCTTTTTCCGGTATACTCTCGACGCAGCAACAGATTACCTACTCGGCAAGGGCACCGACAGTCTAGATAACCCGGCTACACGGTTCGCCGAAGCATTCAGATATGTGCAACAGCGCCAAGCGGCGTTTTTCCGTTCCGGGTGAGTGATGATACTCGATCCTGTGCGACGCAAGCACAGCCTGTCATTGGAGCCTCATAGAACCCAATCTAACTTCAACCCTAAAACAGAGTCTTTAGCTACGCCATGTCACGCACTGAATTCCGCAAGAACCTCAAGATAATGGACGAGTTCATCCAGCCATACATCCAAGCCGTCCTCGCCCGCTCAGCCAGTGAACCTAACGAGAAGGTGTCAAAGAGCGAGACCTTCCTCGACGCCCTAGCCAGCTTCACCCGCGATCCCCGCGTCCTCCGGGACCAACTCGTCGCGGTTCTCCTCGCAGGTCGCGACACAACAGCCGCCACACTATCCTTCTGCCTCTTCGAGCTATCGCGCAACCCAGATGTCGTCGCCAAGCTGCGCGACGAGATCCGCGATAGACTCGGCGTCGGCGCCAACGCCCAGAAACCCAGCTACACCGATCTCAAGGAAATGAAGTACCTCAACGCAGTACTGCACGAGACGATGCGTTTATACCCGGTCGTGCCATTCAACGTGCGTTACTCTCTACGCGATACGACGCTCCCACGGGGTGGTGGGCCAGATGGCCAAGCACCTGTGGGCGTACGCGCAAACTCGCGGGTTATCTACTCGACGATGTTGATGCAGCGGGATCCTGATCTGTATGACGGACCAGAATCGGAGAACTACTTGGATCCTGGGAAGTTCATTCCTGAGCGGTGGATTTCCGGCTGGCAGCCTAAGCCGTGGCATTTTATCCCGTTCAATGGTGGACCACGGATTTGTATTGGGCAGCAATTTGCTACTATTGAGATGGGGTACACTGTCATTCGGATTTTGCAGGCTTATGAGCGCATTATTGCGCTGCCGCTTGGTGGTAAAGATAAAGTTGAAGATCCGGTGCTTCAGTTTGAAGTTACGCTCAGTCCTGGCTCTGAGTTGAATTGCGTTTTCCTCAAGGAGGGTGAAGAGGCTGCGCGGAGTGCGGCTCAGTTGAGTGCTGCTTAAGCTGTGTGTGATTGATTCTTCGGACTATAGTATGTTATATTTGAGACACGAATTTATGCCCTGTTTTTAGTTTTGGATCGGGTGAAATTTATCTTGTTCTTGATTTTTTAGTAGTCAATACAAAGATCCCAAAGGAAGACATTCTCCAGAAAAAAGACATGCAAGGGTGGCGTATGAGGTTTCCACCATGCTTGAGGTTTGTCAATTTTGGGCTTGAAACGTGTATTTTGTGCGTTAGATCCATTGTTTTGGGATGTTATGAATCGAGAATCGGTTTATAAATTGGATTCCTCTAACCTCTTGGTGCTATAGAGTCAGCCGCATGAGAAACGTTTTCTATTAGAGGGGAAGGGGGTTAAAAGATAGCTCCTCTCGCGTCGGGTCACCATCCCAATCCTTCCAAGCCACCGAAAAGGCGTCCAATGACAGTGAAAGAGAAATAGGGAAAGAAAAAGCGCTTCTCACGAGTACCCCGATATGTCGGACTTCGAGACAGAACTGTGCCAAGAGTGGCGGCGTTGACCCGACCTGCAGACCCCTGCAGCAGAGTGTCCGTGATACGTACCCCGCGTGATACGTTACGGTTGAAGGGCTCCTTTTGGTAGAGCCTCCTTTTTCTAAGTTATTTGAAGAATTTTTGGATACGTTGCGTCATCTGATATGTCCGTGGCCATATCGGGACAGCACAACCAACACTAAATCCAATAAGAATACAATCAGTAACTATTTGACTACTTCCGTAGTTTCCTAAGTCTTTGCAAAATCTCGACCTTTCGCAACTCCAAGCACAAATCCTCTTCGTCGGCATCATCCAAATCACCCAAAGCACTTCCCAGTGTTGTCTGTACAGATGGAGGTGGGACTTCGATCTCCTTGACCAAGACACGAGCCCTTCCCTTGACAGCTGTGGTGTATGTAAAGCTCTTAACCACATCGGAGAACAAAGAATCAGTCGAAATTGATGTTGCCTTGTGTGTAGGGAGATTATGACTCTTCGCCGGTGCATGTGTCTGGTTGGTCGGAGCAACAGCCTCTTCTTGCTCGATACTCTTAGATCCCACCCAGCCTCTGCTCATCTGCACAGCCTTTTCCCATTGTCTGAATTTAGCAGCGCTCTCCTTTCGCGAGACCTGGGGCTCGAAGACGGCACCACCAGAGCGATTGATATCGCGTAGCTCGGCAAAGTTGCGCCAAAGTCCAACAGCAAGACCGGCTGCAATTGCTGCACCGAGAGCTGTAGTCTCTCGCATCTCGGGGCGGTAGACAGGGATGGATATCAGATCTGCTTGAGTCTATTTTTGAAATTAGTTTAATTCTTGTGCACTTGTCGATGTATAAAAATGTATGAATTATTACCTGCATTGCCAAGTCTGAGTTACTCATACCCCCATCTACAGCCAGTTCGGAGAGTGTATGACCGCTGTCTTTCTCCATGGCGTCGAGAATGGCCTTAGTCTGGAAGCATGTTGCCTCCAGGGTAGCGCGTGCGATATGACCCTTTTGGGTGTACTGGGTGATCCCAACTGCATACACTGTCAGATAAAATAGAATAGCCAGGCAATGAGAGACTCACAGATTGTGCCTTTCGCGTCATCAATCCAATAAGGTGCAAACAGTCCACTGAAGGCAGTGACAAACACACATCCGCCATTGTCATCCACCGAGTAGGCAAGGTCATTGACATCTTTAGACTCCTGGAAGAAATTCAAGTTATTCTGCAAGAATTTGATGCCGGATCCAGCAACAGCAATGCTCCCCTCAAGGGCATAGATAGGCTTCCCACCAAAGTGGTAAGCCACCGTAGTCAGCAATCCATGTGTCGAGAACACCGGCTTGTCGCCAACGTTGTACAAGAGGAAGCACCCAGTGCCATAAGTGTTCTTGGCCATTCCCGGCGAGAACCCCTTCTGCCCAACCAAGGCCGCAGACTGGTCTCCCAGACAGCCCATAATCGGAACCTGCGCCAAAGCCCCAGAAGCAACGACCCCATATGCTGTCGCATCAGACGAGGGCACAATCCTAGGCAGATGAACCTTCCCCCTGATCCCAAAAAAGTCCAGAAGCGTCTCGTCATACCGCAACGTCTTCAAGTTCACAAACATGGTCCGCGAAGCGTTTGTCGAATCCGAGACAAAGACGTTGGCAGCCACGCCACCGTTCAAACGGTATACTAGCCAAGCATCAACGGTACCAAACGCCAATGTGCCACGGTCAAATGCATCCTTCACTCTTGGGACATGTGCCAACATCCAGAGCAACTTTGTAGCCGATGAGTAGGTTGACAACGGCAGACCGCAACGTGTCTGGAGTTGCGCTGCCCCTGGTTTCCGTTTCAGTTCCGCAACAATTGCCTGAGACCGTGTGTCGGTCCATACAATGGCATTGTACAGGGGTTCTCCAGTTTCGTGGTCCCAGACTATGGTTGTTTCGCGCTGGTTGGTTATTCCGATGCTCTTGATGCTGCCTCGGGTGTGGCCTTGCGCCTCGAACTTCTGGACGGCTTCTTCGATGCAGGTTTCTACTGAGGTTACGATCTCGAGGGGGTCATGTTCATGCCAGCTAGAAAAGGTAAGTTTCAGATACAAGGTGGGCTTTTAGTCTGACTATTTTGGACTTACCCCGGGTTTGGGTAGATTTGGCTGAACTCGACTTGATGCGATGCTACTGGCTCGCCCTCGCGGTTGAATATCAAGAATCTGGTGCTTGTCGTGCCCTGGTCGATTGAGCCCACAAAGGTGCCCTCAGGCATGGTTATGTGTTATAGAGGAATCTACGAAATCGTCTATTTGTGGAAACAATTCGCGGAAAAACTCGAGATACAACAGGAAACAAGGACATCAATAAAGCCATATATAAGAGCTTCGCGGTCACACAGCGGGGATGGCGAAGGAATGAGGGGGAGACGAGAGAAGGGATTGGTGGGATTATCCCTGGTCAGGCGTAAGAAGTGAGAACGGGCTGTGCGACATTTATTGGCTCTCTTCGTATAGACTTGTTCTTGGAAGTCTTGGAATTGGACAGTGGAATTAGTTTGGGGTTAGCCAAGTGTCAATGCACTTTGCACTATAAAGGAAAAGATATCCTCGGGAAAAGGATTCTCTCATCCCGACTTTCCCCTAACCCTTGTCAGCATGACCTGCATACTGTGGAGAGAGATCAGCAGATGACTGACGACTCGGTTCATTTGGCGAAGTGTCCGATCCAATTTGGTGGGGAATCGCGCATTGACTCGGTCTTATTCCATTGTCATATAGCAGCAGCAGGGCAACCAGACATCTACCAATAGCCCAAATTGCAACCAGACTCGTCGAAATTGCCATTTTTTCTGCAAACCTATGGCTTTTTTTTTTTACCTTGAACCACTGGAGGACAAGGCATCATTTTTACTACACACACAGAGTTAAATCCGGACAACCCCGGTCTCGGTGATGCTACCTCCAAGCATATGGTCACACAGTCAGTGGTCAATTGTGCCACTACCGACGACAACCGAAGAGCGACAACATACTACCTTTAGCATCATGGGGACCAATCTCTTTCGACTACTCTCGCCTCCCTTTGAAGTCTGCCGCCTCTGCCAAGGTAACACAGCTTGGACTTTCCGGATTGCAATTGGGCCTGCGTGAGGTCTGGCAACCCGAGGACTTGACGATGAGTAACGGAAGGCATAGAAGCTTCTCCTATCGTCAGAACAGTCATAGCAAATACCGGTAAGCGGGAACTATACACAACATTGCGGTGTCCAAGAATTACCCAAAGAAGAGGAAACAACCCAACCGGGATCGGACAGTGACTTCCGGCGGCCCAGGCCAAACGGTTCTTCCTACAAACGACCCCTGAAATCAACTATCGGAAATGCGCTGTCACAAAAAGTTTTGCTCTGTGGGGAAAAGAAACAAATGAATACAGTGACAAAAAGGACAATGACCGGCCCAGCCAGTTCAATAAAAAGAATATGTGCACTTGATGATTCCGAGTCTGTCCGGATTTGACTTCAGCTGATATCTTCCCTGTAAGATTGCACGCCCCTCTGGAGCTCTGGAGCTTGGGACCAGGAGGACAAGACACACACACACACACACACACACACACACACACACACTCTCTTCTAGGATAAGTCCCTGCATCAGCCAATCGAGCCACCGTCTTGTACGAAGGACAGCACAAGTTGAGCGCAAAAAGGTTGGTTACACGGTCGTCCCTGGTTCTGCACCGTTGATATACCGGAGGGACTACTACATTTTTGGTGTGGTTGGCGACATTCCCCCCGGTTGGTCGTACTATATCAACTCGAAACCCCAACCCTGGCTCCCAGAGCTTGGGATCTCCTTTCGATGGCTACCTGGAAAGAGCTTGAGCTTGATCCAATGTCAAAAGTCCACCGTGAAACTCTTTCCTCTGCTAGTCATGACAGTGGCTGTGGCTCACTGTGTCTGGCTGATAAGAACGAAACGGCTATCCATCATATCAACCCGGAAGTCGAAAGCCCGTATACTCGGCCCCTGCTCTGGTTCAAAGTGAGAGAGTACTGTCGTGATGCGTTCTCTGAGTTTTTTGGAACGATGATCCTGATTTTATTTGGGGACGGGGTCGTTGCCCAGGTGCTGCTCAGTCATGGGGAGAAGGGTGACTACCAATCTATCTCTTGGGGATGGGGGTAAGACTTGTTCTTCTTTTTCTATCATCACTTGAAACTCTCTTCTCACTAGCCCTATTCAACAGACTCGGCGTCATGCTCGGAGTATACGCCAGCGGGGCATCAGGAGGCCACATCAATCCCGCCGTGACGTTTGCAAACTGCGTCCTCCGCGGGTTCCCCTGGCGCAAACTCCCCGTGTATGCACTAGCCCAAACCCTCGGCGCAATGTGCGGTTCTGCCATCGTGTACGGCAATTATAAGTCCGCCATCAATGTCTACGAGGGTGGGCCAAATATCCGCACAGTCCCCGGCTACTCGACGACAGCAACAGCCGGCATCTTCTGTACATACCCAGCAGAGTTTATGACAAAGACAGGGCAATTCTTCTCCGAGTTCCTTGCCAGCGCGGTTTTGATGTTCATGATATTCGCTCTGAAAGACAACGGCAATCTAGGCGCCGGGCAGCTGACACCTCTGGCACTGTTCTTCGTTATCTTTGGCATTGGCGCGTGCTTTGGATGGGAGACTGGATATGCTATCAACCTGGCACGGGACTTTGGGCCTCGGCTAACATCCTACATGATTGGATATGGGCATGAGGTATGGGCTGCAGGGGACTATTACTTCTGGGTACGTTTATCCGGACATGACATGGATCAAATCTTCTGCACTTTCCCAGCTTACCAATGTTTCTGTTTCAGATTCCTATGGTTGCACCGATATTAGGTTGCACCTTCGGAGGATGGATCTATGATCTATTCCTGTATACTGGGGTGGATAGTCCAATCAACACACCCTGGATGGGAATCAAGAGGCTGTTTGGACCTCTTCACAAAAAGCGAGTCGCACCGCAGAGTCCAGTCTGAGGCAACCCTATTCTTACGCATTACATCTGAAATGTAGGCGTGGAGTGGCGAGCACTGCACTGGACTTGTTTTAATTTATCTTATTCATGATCTGTTTTATGACAATCTTGTGTGTAAAAAGGGGTGGAACTTGACTGCGATTGTTATGATTTGTATTTTGCACTTTTAGCTAGTTCCTGCGGCATTCTTTTAGCATTACACAACCTACTTTTGAATTTTCAATATGTTTAATAACCTTTGATGTTGTTTGGCCTATTTGAGCGATATGCTTTGGTCGGTATGTATACATCGGCTGTGCCTATCAGTCATGGGGTCTACACGTCAACAATTGTTCTATGTTTATTCTTTTACTCAACAGAAATGTATCCAATGCATGTATCATGTCTCTCTATCTGGGCTGCATGATTCCAGAAGAGAGCACTGCAGCTGCTGTGCTTTTCAATTGGCACATGACATGGTGATGTTTGCTGTGGCCATATTGAGCTTTAGGGAAGACCTATTTTAAAACAAAAGATGAGCAATTTTTATTTCCATATATTGTAGCTTAATAGTAACGGGAGACCTATGGGATGTTGAAGTTTTTACCCTAAGCAGTTCGACCTTGCTTCTTCCAGAAGAAGCTTGGACCTCGGGAATATAAGGAATATTAGCTAAGGCTAAGCACCTTGGGCTTGATGGAAGGCAGTGCAAAATAATGATCGACATGAGGGTAACTACGTTATGCACAAGTTTAGGGGCAAATAAGAGCCCCTAGGTACATTTATAGGTTCATTGACAAGTGTTAGGTGAAATAGCGAAGTTAATCGAAGGGACCACAAAATTACAACCCTAGAGGGTAAACGGTTCTAGTATATATTAAGGCTTACTAGTTGGTTCATTCACAACCCTAGGGGTCATAGTTAGCCAGATAATAGGAATCGGTACCGATACATTCGTGCCAAAGTTACACATCGCGAATGATCCTTGTAGGTATATCCGGGGAACTATTTCGCAGTGAATGGCGCGGTGCAAAGCAGTACATCTCTTGGAATTTCTTCGATTGAGATTAAATCCACGGTCAAGAAGCAGCTCCAGTATGTCACAATTCAACACGGTCTCATGAAGGATTGCTTAACGAAATCATAGGATTGAAAAGTAATGTGCGATATAAAGGGGCCTAATCCTAGCTTTCCAATAGTATGTTGAATTAAAAGGAATTCACTAGCGCAAGGCTGTCGTCCACTGCAGGTGTATCAACTGGTCGGTCAGCTTATGTGAACGGTTGTGCGAATTCGAGAACGAACCCGAATCCCATTAGATATGATGGCGGAGGGCGATCAGACACGGTCTTGATAATGGATGGAAGGCTAGGAATTTGGAGTCTACTGGATTTAATCATTGATTATACTTCAGATAGTGGAAGAGGATGGATTTTGGAAAGTAACCTCAATTTGTAAAGTCGATAAGACATACCAGCTCCCACGACTGGAACGGTGCTGAACCAACTTCATATGTTTGCACCTGGGCAGGATCTACGAATATTGCTACGAGGCAGGTAACTCTATGGCCGAAAAACACGCACAACTCAGAAGCGATATCAATGATGCTATGAATATGATGCTGGTACATAGGCATGGCGAAGACACGCAACGAACATGACACGTATCTCACATAAATAGAAACAAAAGATCCAACTTAGCAAGGCTGTGATTGGAAATATACACCTCGGACAGAAACTATGCACACCACTAGCGCTTGCCCTTCTTGCGGGGAGCGACAACCTTGAACGCAGAGCTGGCAGCCTCTTCCTCACGCTGAGCAGCAGCCGCAACAGTAGCAGCAGAGCCCTTCTTGGCAACCTCGCTCCAGCCACCGCCGCTCTTCTGCTCACCGAAAGCACTAGGTGAGACAGGGTCAACAATGCCCTTATCGGCAAGCTTGCGGCGGCGGATGAATTCCTCCGCGAAGCGGCGGCCATCCAGAGTCTGGGAGTTGGCGTAGACGGAGTCGGAGATGATCTCAGCCTCAGCGGGCAAGAAGAGCAATTGCTGGACAAAATCGTCAACTAGAAATAGGATGTTAGTATGGAGACAATGCAAATTGAATGAAGAGGACAAAACTCACCATTGATGCTGCTGTTCAACCCCTTGCTCAGGGCCAGAGTAGCCCACTTGGTGAACTCCTCAACGGCCTGGTTGGGGTTGGGCTGGGAGATGCTGCTGCTTGCCACACTACGGGTAGTGGACACAGTTGCAGGGCGGGGCTTAGCAATAAGAGGCGAGATCGGGACGGTTCCGCTGGCTGTGCGGGGTCCGAGAGGCGGCGCAGTTGGCACACCCTTGACCTTGCCACTAGCACCGACGGTGGTCCAGGCACTGGAGCCCTGGGTAGCGGGAGCAGCAGGAGCAGGGCCCTTGCTAGCAAGATCGGCATAACGCTTGCCAACGGAGGAGGGAACGGGGGGGCTTGGGGTCGCAGCCATAGCGGCGGCCGCCGCCGCCGCCGCGCGGTTCTTGCGGGCCTCCTCCTCCTTCTGGATCTGAGCGAGAGTCTTCTTAGCGGTAGTGGCGGTGGGTGCGGGCTGGGTCTTGGTGGCCCAAGGGGAGCCAGCCGAGGCAGGGGTGGCCGGAGATCCAGCGCTAGCCCAGTTGGCTGACGAGGGAAGGCCAGGCGCTGCCTGTGCCTGCGCTTGGCTGAGACGCTCTTGCTCCGCAAGGAATTGGGCGCGGCGTGCCGCAGCGGCAACTTCCTCGCGTTGGGCGGCAGTACGAGCCTCGGCTTCCTGAATCTCCTTGAGAGAGGGACCCTTCGGCAAGTCATTTGCCTCCTTGGCCCACGGTGCGACAGAGGTAGGCGCAGCGTCAACGGGAGTCTGGGTCTGGGAGCGGGACCCAGTGGCCAGAGACTCGGCGACGTTTTGGCGGTTACGCTGGGCGGTAGGTGCAGGGAGCGGCGATGCTGAGGGTGGGGGAGGGAAAGGCTGGGGCATAGCGTGGTCGACCTTGCTTCCCCAGACTGACTCAGGGGCGCCATGGCTATGGTCATGTTCTTGCTGCTGGCGTTGAGCAGAAGCAGCCTTTTGAACTTGCTGGGAAAGAGTAAGAGGCTCAGAACCGGTAACAGAGTCGGTCAGCTGTTGGGCTGCCTCCTCCATCTCGGCCGCAACCTCTGCTTCAAGTTGCTGGGACACAGCAGCAGGGTGGGTGGGCAGACCTTCGGCGGTGCGCATGCCCATCTCGCCTTCCTGGGCCCGAAGAGCATGGAACTGACGAAGACGCTCCTCGCGAGCGTGCTGATCAAAGGGATCATCTTCATGGGCCTTATCAAAGTCTTCCTGCTCTTGCTGAAGCTGAGCACGATCGTGAAGCATCTGAGTAACCTGCTGGGACTGCAAGAAGTTGTCGGGCTGGCGGCCAGAGAACGAACCAGCACTGCCAAAGGCAAATGGATCCTGGCGGCCAACATTCAGGCGATCAAGTAGAGCGGGGAGTTGATCCTGGCTGCCGAAATCCGTTCCTAGCATTCCAGGTCCCACGTTCAAACCGCCCTGTCTTGGTGCAACACCATCAAAGAATCCGGGCTGGGACTGCTGCTGCATGGGAGCCTGAATCGGGGATGGCTGGTAGCCAACGGGTGAAGTGATGCTTGAGAAGCTAGGCTGGCTTTGAAGGCTGTGTGCGCTAGACTGGTGCTGCAGCGGGGGGTTCATGGAGGATGAGGGGGCACCAGGAGGAGCCATCTGCTTCATGATGGCCTGCTGCTGAGCCAAGTGCTCCTTCTGCCGAGCCATCAGGTACTGTTCTTCCTGCTTGCGACGTTCAAGCGCATTTTGCTGCTCGGCTGTCAAGGTAGTGCCGAAGCTTGGGAAACTACCCGGGAAGGGAGGCTGAGCAGATCCGGCGGTCGTGTTAGTCCACTGGGCAACGGTCGGTTCTGGGCCATGAGGAAGGCCAATTTGAGGCACAAGGAACGGCTCGCGTGAGTTCCCAATGCGTCTCACTAGCTGAGCTAACGGCTCAAATTCAGTATCCTCAAGCTTCTTGATTTGCAAATCTGGGCTGAAGAAGCCCGCCTTGAACCAATCATGCATCTCAAGCCCAGTCCACGGGCCCTGGATGTTGCCTTGCGGATCCCTGTAGATCCAACGCATCCTATCCGGCATGACCATGGTACGCTGCTGGGAAGCAGGGATGCCTGCGCCAGGAGTTTGACTGGAAGGAATATCATGACCAGCGAGGTTAGGAATAGAGCCAACGGCTGAGACGGGTGTCTGCGAAGCAGGCGTTGAGCTAGGGTGGTTTGCCTGACCCGCCTTGTCGCCTTGCGAGGGGTCGAGTCCATCCAGGCCGACAGAGTCGGGCCTTCCTTGCTCGTCCTGCATGGAAGAGAAGAGGGCACCGAGTTTGCTTGATCGGCCGATGCTTCCAGTGCCAGTGATACCGGCATGGGGGCTAAACAGACCACCTCCACCGAGGGTTGACAAGCTAGGAGACTGAAGATCGCCCATGGAGCCAAAGATAGGGTCACCGAAACCACCAACAAATGCAGAACGCTCACGAGTGGGCGTGCCGACGGCAGCACCAGACGACCAAGTCGAGGTCCCACCCAGGGAAGACAGGCCACCCAGACCACCGAGACCAGAGAAAGTGCGGTTAGCATTGACACTGGAGTTCTGGCTGCGGTCCACGGTGGGAAGGTCGATTCCAGAGCCAACCCGTCTCATCGAGCCGAAGGGGTTGGAGGGATCCCGAAGGCCGCTGACTCCTGGATGCTGGGCCTGCTGGATGTCCGATCCGTCAGTGTCGACATCTTCGGGTTCCGCACGTTCGCCATGACGGTCACCATGCGGGCTCTGATAAGGATTGGTGTTGGTTGGACTGGTTGGCTCGTGTCCCTGGAGCAGGCTGGGAGTTGGGTTCCGCGAGTTCTCCTGGCTTTGCATCAACTCCCGGAATCCAGGAATGCTCGAGGTCATTCCGAATGCGCCAAACCCGAGATCAGATTGAGCGGGACCTTCAACATCCTGAGACCCACCAAGAGCGGCGCTGCCACTGCGAGGCTCGTCGAACGGATTAGTTTCGCTTCGGTTGACACGAGTCTTGACGGAATCTCCCCAGGGCGACTGTGAACGCCCATCACTGTCGTTTTCAGCAAGACGTTCAAGGTTGCCCATGGGCTTTTCCTTGGCGGAGCCGGCCATATCTTCGGAGCTATCCTTGGACAACAAACCCTTGAATCTGCTTTCTCCGCGGAGACTTCCGTATCCCGGTTTCTTTTCGGTCGTGGGAGTGCCGGCAGCGGAGCCAGAACCAAGAGAGAAAGCTCCAAAGGCCCCCATCGGAGAGAAATTGGCATTATGCGAGGCCGAACTCCAGGGGGAGCTCGGTCCACTAACGCCCGTATTAGTGGGATTGGTGGAGCTGCGTTTCAGAGTGCCAAAGGGAGAAGAAGGATCCTCCCTGCTATCCTTGGCCTTCTCATCCACCTTCGGGTTGGGTTCTCGGAAATCAGTTTTGCGACGCAACAGGGCAGGTGGAGGGGTAGAAGTATTGGCCTCATCGCGGAAAAATCGGGAGTTAGAACCGGTAGGAGACATGGGGTTGCCAATCGATTCTCCCGTTTCCCGGCGTCGGGGACCCGGGCGACCGGCGGTTGGAGAGGAGGTGGTGTAGTTATTGATATGACCCTGAGGATAGGAGATCGACGACTTGCGGCCTCCAGTTCCCGGGATGACATTTTCCTTCGCGGCGTTTGTGGGGGGTGGCTTCAGAGGGGAATTGACCGAGGCGGCGAACATCTATCAAGCTTTTTAGTAAAAGCACTCACCCAGACCCGAAAGCACGACACAACACGTACCTCTTTCTCGTCCTCCGTCATACCAGTGATTCCCAGGGGCTCCACCTGGCCACCATGATCCCAGCAAACCTCAGGCCCCGCGGAGTTATTCTTGTGGTCGTCCCGCTTCCCCCATGCGCCATTCACAGGAGCTGACACAGTGTGGGGATCCCAGTCGGCCACGAAGTATTCCTCCACGTTCTTACTCAAAGCTCCCTCCTCTCGCTGCGATTTATACAGCTCTAGAAGTTGATCCTTGGAGTACCGGGCGTCCCCATTCCGTGCAATGCTAGACGTATTTGAGCTCAGGTGTGGGGGGATATACGCGCCGCCGGCCGTGGTTGTCGAGGCAGATGCAGGCTGGCTACTATCCCGGTGTTGAGAGGGGTTGGTAGCAACAGAAGGACGGCGGAAGGTCTGCGTAGCTCCGTTCATGCGGTTTCGAGACCTAGTAAGCATCGAAGGTTAGCATCGGATATCGGGAGCTCAAGACATTGATGGTCATGGCAACAAGCAACGATATTGGGCCGAGTCTGTTAAGCAACAGCTAATGGAGGGGTTTCAAGTAGGTGAAACAGTGTGCATACCATTCTCCGCTAGTCGAACCATCCCCCCTCCGGCTGGGGTCCTGGGTGTTGCCGGCAGCGGCCGAAGCGAAACTCGATGGAAGTGGTGTAGGCATTGTGGTAAAGAGGCTTGTATGGTCGGATGTTGATCCCCCACGTAAAAACCGATTCTGGAATAGTTATCGAGAAACCTGTGGCGGGCTTGCAAGACAATGTGTGATGCGAATGGATAGGTCGCAGGACACGAGATTAAAAAATTGGGTTGAGTTGGAGGATGACAGCTAGGAGCTAGTCAATCGAAGAAGTGGAGAGCTGTAAGAGAGGTAATGCAGATATGCGAGCGCCAGACGAACAAGGTCGAGAAAGAGAGAGATCGAGGTTCGATTTCGCTTGGGAAGTTTCCTGGAGCAAAAATGTTTAAGCGGTGGCCGTGGCAATACGCGTGCCTTGTGGTAAATACACGGTATAGGATTGCTAGTGGTCGCGTGATTTGCCGCCTAAAGCGGTGAATATAACGTATTTGGTGGAAACACAGTTACATACCGCCAAGAGCAGGTATCCGATACACGCACAACACTGTGTCTTCATACTCTGCCCAATGTACCTTATACCTTGTTGTACACTATTCTGCCCAATCCTGTGTGGCAAAGAAAAGAGACATCGTATAAAAGATGCAAATAGAGTCTCCAAATGATCAGAGTGGATTTTAAGCTTGACTTTTACATTTTCCCCAACCTAAAAGACTACATATAGCAAATACGTATGCAGTTAGGTGGCTTGACGCAAGCAGAGAGGTGTGGAAACAACAGGGTAGGCGTGTATTCCCCACAATAGCCACGCTCCTCTTTTGATTGGGAGTTCATCTGCTTTCAACAAGTTGGGGATTGGATTGGGCTTGTCTAAGAATACAAAAGAAGACCATCTAGGCGTTCCACAAATGCAATAGAGGTCGAAGTTGCATCCACTATCCCTTTTTGCCCAACCTCTATGCTGGGCAAACATGCCCTGTCTTGGATAGCTCCAAGGGTCTCAATATCTTTAGATTGGGGCTGGAATCCGGTTGGGTTAAGAATCCCTTTATCTGCTGTGCCTGTCAATAGGGCTGGATCATTGTGTCGCCCTTTGACCTCTACTCCGTCTCGTTTGCCCTTTGATCTACTTCATTATACAGCTACAATGCTTTCTGGGATTTGCGCACTCTAAGAGTAACACAGAGACGACACAAAACGACACAATGAATATCTTAGCCCAAATTGATATGATGGGCTCAGTCTTAAAGCTTCACGGATGTTATCAAGACTCTATAAAAGTGACATCCCCTTCGCCGGCAATTTCCTCTTTACAGTTCTTTCGCTTCAAAACAATCCAGTCAAAGTTCTCTGAAGTATAAACTTTATTGCATAACAAAGGCCATTTTCTCTCTCTCGTTGCTTCCGGTATCCAAGTTTCCATCGTCTTTGGTCTTTGATCAAAGAACATGAGGCGGTCCAGAGTCACCGGTCGATCCAAACCCAAGGATACAGAATTCGGCTGGTACTTCGCTGGTGAGCCAATGGAGAAGAGACACTCTCGGAGCGGTCGAATCAGGTTAGTTCGTTATGGACCTGAGAGGGAAATTTGTGTCCACAGTCGATGCCCGTCGCCATCTCCCATTCCAGAAAATGCACCTTGCACCTGCGGCAATAGATGCAAGGTTCACCCCCACGGAACACGCTCCCCATCCCCCAGCAACACCGACTCCTCTCTCTATGGGGCCATACGATGCTGCGGAGGATGCCATGCTATCAGACGCGAGCGTGAGTCCTCTCCGCAGGTGGAGAAATTAATCTGCACCTGCAACCATCGGTGTGCATGTCACTCGCCTGAAACACGCACCGTCACGCCCAGCGCCAGTGAATATTCTAGCTCTGAAACAGCCACAAGACGCCATGTTAGCCGCCACTCATCCAGACGTGAGCGTCGTTCCAACGACGCACGTCCCACCACGCCGAACAGCAGTGATTTTTCAGACTACGATCCGTCCAGAAGACGGCGCACCGGCCACCGCACGACAAAGCGGCAACCAGAGCACCATCCGCAGGTCGAGGAGTGCCAATGCGAGGCCCACATACCCCCTCCCAACACCCCTGCCGGGCCAAGCCAGAGGTACAAGTCCCCGCGTGCGTTGATCGCGACAGCACCACGCCCCAGTCCAGTAGTCCACCGCCACCACTGTTGCAAGGCGTCTTATTGCGAAAGTCACCCAGAGGGCTGCCGAGCTACAATGCCGAGACCGACGCCAACTCCGACGCGCTCTCCCCGGTCTAGTGATAAGCCCCGTCACAGCTTGCGGGAAAAATCAGACCCGAAATACACTTACAGGAGGTCTGCTTCTCCTCCAAAGCAGATGCCCCCCATGAAGCCCGTGACTTCCCCCAAGCCTACATCTCCGCGGCCTGATGTCCATCATTGTACCTGTTTCCACATGGATGAATACCATGCCGATGATTCTGGATATTATGATGACACTGTTTCCGAGACCTCTATTCAGGCCATGCCTGATCATGACAGGGATGTGGATGAGTCATTTTGTGTTTATCACCACCGTTGCCGTCCGAGATTCGAGTGTGGTCTTGGCTGGGTGTGCGGGAGGAAATGAACTAGATTTTGTGCATTTGGTTTTAATGGAAGAATGATCCATTTTGTTTTCCCTTGCTGCTTTCTCTTTTTTTTTTTTCTGGTCTGTGGCCTCTTTGGTTTGGGATATCAATCCCATATATGGAGAGGCTTGTTGGAATGACTGTCGTTTCCGTGTCAGAGGTCCAGAAAAGCTCGCTGTTCTTTTTTTTCGTCTGTCTAACTTACAATCTTGGATGTATTGGGACACTCATTCAATTCTAGCTTCATAAATAAATTGATATGGTATGATGAAAACGTCAAGTCTGATATTTCCTTTGACATTATTTTATTCTCTGCTTCATGGTCGAGGTGTAAGCCCACCGAGTTACGTGGTAGATAGCTTCATCGAGCATGTCATGGGTTTTGTTGTCGTCTACAGAACGCTTCTTGTAGTCATTTCATTTCCATTCCAGTTTGCTTTCACTGTCGATCTCATTTAAACTCATAAAAAGGCCTTGTTGTAATTTGGAAGTAAAGTACAACCGGAAAAATCACGTCTCCTCAAATCTTTCCACAAACAAAGGCACAGAAAACAGACATCGAGGTGCTCACTTCTCATCCTCATCATTGCTGGCAGCTTTAAACTCCTCGGGGTCGTCAACGTCCTCCATGGTGGTATCGCCAGGGGCAGAGGCAGAGGCAAATGCAGGGGCGACAGCGTCAGCGGCCGTAGCAGTCTTGTTGTCATTTGCCTTTTTCTCGATGGCCTCGAGTTTAGCCTTGAGTCGAGTCCAGCGCATGCGAGCTGCACTAACGTTGAGGTTGAGATCCTCGGCTAGAACAGCGAGGCTGATCTATAAGTAACATGAATTCAGTATGCTGTATCAATCAATTGAAGTGAGGGTAGAGTGATATTACCTCTTTGTTGGTCATCTTGAAAGCCTTCCAGATGAGCATTGTGTCTTCGTCTTTGAAGTTATAGTTCGTAGCCTGGGACTTGCGAACGGCAGAGCGAGACTTGATGTCAGTCTTCTTTGGAGCCATGGTTGGTGAGATGATTGGAAGTTGATAGCGAAACTTGAGAGAGAGGCTGATGTGTTGTTTTGGTTTTATCAGAGTAGTGAACGGGATAAAAGTGGTAAGAGGAAGAGAAAATAAGGGAGAAAAGAGTTCGAACTGAACTTGAGTGTTCTTATAGGTATCGCGCTGAGTCGTCGCTTATGTCGTTGATTTTGTCGCTGAGTCGTTTCGATTGATACGCTGCCATATATGTCCGGCTCCAGTCTCATTCCAGCTCTGATACTGTGCATACTATGTATTTGTACCTGTGAGTTGCCAGGCCAAATGGTACAAGCTAATCTATAATCTAGTATCTTACAGTCTGGTGTTCCTATCCACCCAATAAGTAATGATATACTGTCAAATAGGATCATGCACAGCGGTGGTTGATGCATCTACTATGCATTTCGTTTGCCTTGCAGACCAAGCCTTTACCTTAGCCCAGCTCGCCTATGTTGGTTCGAATGCCATTGTTTCTGGCCTTGGAACAGACAGACACAGAAGCCACAGGAGGACCTACTAAATGTGCGTGATTTTTTATTGATAGTTCGTTGCCAGTCGCATCCTATGTCCGGTGCCTAATAGAGCAAAGCCGGGTTTTCCGCTCGGATTGTGATACTTGGTTCTTATTTATCATAAGAGTCCTGTTGATTTGCCGTTCAAAGCTACAATATATACTCCCAGAAAATGCAAAACTAGCAACAAATAGCAGATCCCGACTATAAATCAATTCTCCGGATCTGCTAGCGAAATACGTAGCATACAAGGGAAATGTAGAAACTATAAAAGATCACTATATATAAACCAGTAAGCACCCAAGACATCCTATGTTTTCTGGCGAAAGGCGAACATACTAGGAATCTCAATTTTTTTTTGTCATAGCTTGGCTCAGTTCGAGCTTTACATTCTGAATTATATCAGGATATATTGACACTAGTTCCCAATTTCCATCGATTATTCAACATGAGGTCTCGGACATTCAGCCCCTAACGCGGGCGCAATTCGACCTCGGGGGAAACCTCGGCTATTGATTAGAATATCGATAAGCATTTAAGCGTCCCCGCACGAGCGCCCTGACTTTCAAGGTCAATTTGTTTTGATATCTTCATCTAACATATCGAAAAATGTCCAAAGCAATCTACATATCCCCAATTGACGGCAAGCCTGGCAAGCCAGGCCAAGTCTACTACCCGCTCTCCCTACGCACTGTGCCCCAGCCTTCCCCGCAAGGGGGTGAACTACTGGTGAAACTGACTGCTGCCGCGCTCAACCACCGCGACCTCTTCCTCCGCCAACACCTCTACCCCGGTGTGACCTTTGACGTGCCCCTGCTCGCAGACGGAGTCGGTACCGTTGTCGGTGCTGGCCCAAACGTTCCCAGCCCAGAAAAATGGCAAGGCAAGCGAGTGATCTTGAACCCCGGTGCCGGCTGGAAGGATTCGCCCGATGGACCGGAGGACCCTGCTGGATACCGGATTATGGGAGGTACCAAGGTTTTGGATAAGGGCACATTGCAGGAATATATTACTATCGAGTACTCGGAGGTCGAGGAGGCCCCTGAGCATCTCTCTGATGCCGAGGCTGCAGCCCTACCCCTGACGGGCTTGACAGGCTGGAGAGCTCTAATTACCAAGGCTGGCGAGAGGAACTCTGGAGATGGTGCTGCTATCCTGGTCACTGGCATTGGTGGTGGCGTGGCTCTGATGGTGCTGCGATTTGCCGTTGCCCGAGGTGCACATGTCTTTGTGACGAGCTCGAGCCAGGAGAAGATCCAGAAGGCCGTTGAGCTAGGTGCGACTGGTGGTGTTAGCTATAAGGAAGATGGATGGGAAAAGAAGCTGTTAGGTATGCTCCCAGCTGGGAAGAGGAACTTCGATGCCATCATTGATGGTGCCGGTGGTGATTCTATTGAGAAATCCGTTAAGCTGCTCAAGGTGAGTGCCACAATGGGACATGTATTCAATACGGATGAAAGTACTCACATTTCTAGGCTGGCGGTGTCCTCTCTATCTATGGAATGACTGTGTCTCCTAAGATGCCATTTACGATGACTACTGTCCTCAAGAACATCGACGTCCGCGGTTCCACAATGGGCTCCCGGAAGGAGTTCAAGGAAATGATTGAATTCGTCAATGCTAAGAAGATTCGCCCTGTAGTGTCTCGAGTTCTGCAGACCGAGCTAGATGACTTGTCTGCAATTGACGAGCTGTTCGAAGACATGAAAAAGGGCACGCAGTTCGGCAAACTGGTGATTGAATTTGGCAAGCCTTCGGGCAGTAAGCTGTGAACATATTCTTGCTACGATTCCCATGAACTCATGATGCCTATATGGCCGTCTATGCACCTATGATACATATCAATTGAGATGTCTTTCAGCAACTGCGAGTGTTCTTCGTACCTTCCCCCTCCGCCGCCTCACTTCACGCATCACCACATCATAACCTCCGTGCATTTGCAACATATCATCGCCACTTTTATCTCCCATCATCTCTTAGTAGAAAACCAATCGAGTAACCGAATCTCGAATTCGCTCATTGTATAACAAATTCTTCCATTCATTTCCGATTCCACCCCCATCATGAACTCCAAGAGGGACCGCATTCCCGCCCGACAAGTCTCTCGCTCCGTTTCTCGTGGAAATGGCCGTGTGCCTCGCATGTCGGACTCCCGCCGTGTCCTGGAAGATTCGTCGGACGAAGGTAGTTTCCAGGTATTGCCACATCAAGAAAACATCGACTCTATGGAACGGCCCCTGTTGGTACTGACAGTCAATACAGTCATTTGACGCCACTCACTACGCCCTGCAAACTCTCAACAAGCACATTGAACGAAGGATTGCAAAGCTGCAAGCCAATACAGTCCGCCTGAAGCGTGAACTGTGGTTGCTCCAGCGACACATCAAAGAATTCCGCCATCCTCTTTTCGAGAACTGGGAAGCCGACATGCTCACCCGTCTTATTGAGGTTGCTCACGCCCATCAGCATAAGAAGCTACCAGGTGGCGTCGTGATTGGAGAGTCTTCGTTTGCCCAACGCGAAAATCTCAATCATGCATACAGCATCGCAGCCAAGGCAATCCGGATGCCGACTCTTCGTAAGCTTGGTCTGTCGGAGAAGTATCATCAGGCTCTGCAGCGATATTCAGAGGTGAGTTATCACCGTGGTCTTGATTGCACGTACCTTGACTTAGTCCCGCTCTAACATGGATCAGGTTGCTCCTTATCGAAGCCCGAATCCCTTCCAAACCGAGTTCGCATTCGCCAAATGGCTAGTCGAGGTACGGGATGACCGGCCGGAACTGTATGGATTCTGGTCCAAGCTTTTCCCTGTCTGCTATGACCGCACTGTCCAAGAGAGCGCCTCCATCTTCTAGGGGATTCCAGAGGTTGATCTCATCATCGTCTCGTATCGTCACGTTTCTTTTCTTTCGCTGTGGCTGGGGCCAAGCATCCAAAGGGGGTTGTTTAGTGGATACAATATTGCTTCGTTGTTTGAAATCTTCTCTTCCTAGAAGTTTGTGGGTCATTACCCTTTGTTCCGGTCTCGTTCTGCGGCGTGCGGTTTCATTGTGTTTCATCTCAGCTCTCCATGTAGGTACCAAGCCTATTATTATCTTTGGCGTGTCAGGATGCAGTGGCTGCTTTTTTTGGATCATCTGCTCCCGATGCACGGCATGACTTTAAGCGATATTTCTAAGCGATCCATGAACCTAGTAAGATGATTCAGCTTCCTTTGACGGCCAACAACGAATGTATACAACCTATACAGCCTATCTAGCAACAGACTACCACGGTTGCATCAAATCCTAAGCCACATACTCATTATAACTAGGATTCACGGATCACTCCGATCCACAAACCACACAGTCTAAATGCCAAACGGGTTAAGTCCTCTGGTGTGGCTGGCACTAAATCCCGTCATTCTGGTCGAACGGCTAAACGAACCAACGGTCGAACAATAAACACCAAGCAATATGCAATATATGCGACATATCCCCACGTCCACGATCTCGAAAACCCTATATCGTCCCGCCTACATGATGCAGCCAATGTCGAATTTAGTCAATATTGTAGCAGTAACACAATAAAGTTTGCGCTCGCTAATAATAGCTCCTTTTTTTACGAAGTACAGTATAATAAGCTTGATACTAGAGAGTGAGACAGCCCTAAGCGGTATCTTGCACTCCTTCCACGTGTATCCACTGGATAGATCCAAAAGAAAAAGGCGCAAAAGTTAAAAAAGGAAACCAAGAATAGTAATTTATGGTACCACACATCCATAATTCGCCAAAATAATCATATTTATGGAGAACATGACAATTTGAAAGGGCACAGTAGCAGTGCGACCGAAAGAACGTCCATGCACCCTAGGTCGATAATTGCCCTAAAATAGGAAAGACTAAAAAAAAAAACCTACCCAAACCCGGCAAGGCCCTTTAAACAATAGCCGAGTCGCGTGAGTTGGGGGTAGACCCTGAAAAACGATCCACGAGGTCAAGTTGCCACTAACAGCGTTGGCGCTAAGCCCGTCCTTGTAGGGCGGAAACGAACCTGAATCATGAGATATTTGATGTGGTATATTGTACATAATGTACCATAGATGGTAAATTAGATTGACCTCAGCAAAGGTTAATGGGAAAGGAATTCGACGGAAAAACCCAGAATGGTTGCTGCCTAGCTTGGCCTATGGGAATAATATGTGCATAACATCCACCTGTGACCGGAAAAGGAAAAAAGTGGAATGGATAACCCATGCACATTAAATCATAACTCATCTGATTAAGGTCGGATCCGCCATAAATAGGGTAGGCACATATTTAAGGAGAAAGAGGCGATGGACAGTGGGACTGCTACGGAGTACATAAAAAGAGAAAATTTGGAAGGGGTCCCGAGGACCCGAGAGGGAAACTTATTCTATGATTGGTGGCCTTTTGGGTATGGAGCTCCACTTTTCACGGAGATATTTCTAGTATACTAATACTAGCAC